TGGTCCGTAATTACATGTTTTTCAGCCCCGAGTGCCTACTTTTCGCAAGGCTTACAAGGGCGTTATTCGACGGTGACACACGTCAGATGTCACCGTTACAACACTTGCGACGCAGAGCTCGTCGTTATAACAGAATAGACATTGTCATGTCATAAGTCGATGCGCCTGCTCAACGACCAAAGGAGGTATCATTATACTTTACCATGCGACTATAACCTAACTTTTTAAGACTGCAGCCACCCTTTCCACCTGCGATCTGAGGGCTAGTTTCTATTCCTCCGAACAGTCCGGACCTTAATCCCATTGAAAATCTATTTGCCTTGATCAAGAAAAACTGGGACAAGCCACTGAAACATCTTTCAATGGAACCGAAATTGGACTTTGCCCTTAATAATTGTGTAGACCAATCCACCATTGACAACATAGTTTCCTCTATGCCCTCCGGAATAACTGCTGTTATAAACGTTAAAGGACACTCAACAAAGTATTAGTATGTTACATATTTAATACTTTTCTTTATTTTGTCCTTCCATCTTATTTTCTTAGGCTTTTGTCGCTATTATAATCGCTTTTTATCATTGACCTTTGACCTTTGACCTTTCTTGGATTTAACAGTTGTCGGTAAAACAAATTAGTTCTTAGATAATAAATGATACTTCATATATCGAAATATGCCTCCTTTTAAGGATATATTTTTCCTTTCACGCAATATAACTTGCGGGTCCGTCAGGTAAACGCTCTACGAGCTACAACGGTTTTCCTGCAGTCTTGACGGCGTTACGAGAATTTTGACACATACTGTACATATATATGCTAATATGGACAAAAATGTTTGGTCCAGATATGCTATAGCGATCATAATTTTCAATGAAGAATAAGCAGAGGGGAGGCGGAATCGTAAACTGAATAATATTTGAATGGACGCCTCGGCACCCTTGTCAATTCCATGTATATTTGCTGCATCAACTATCATATCTAAAAAGCAGAATGCGACAAAAAGAAGCTGTATTTATTAGGAGACAGGCAAAGTTACAAAATCAATAAAAGAGGCCACACCAAAGCGCAGAACACAGATAAGCAAAGGGTACCAAACCCTGTAGACAAAGGGTATGACGATGGCCTCATCACAGATGGCAAGGCTGGGAAAGACCTCAAAAATATAAAGCACCTTCTGTGTCCACAACACCTGAGACATCCCCGAGTCCTACGACGGATTCAACCTCAAACCGTTCCAGTGGTCTCGGTCGTCAATTCTGTCGTAGGTGTGGAGGTTGTCTCAGGTGTCGAGGGCGTAGAAGATGTTTCGGTGGTCTCGGTCGCCGATTTTGTCGTAAGTGTGGAGGTTATCTCAGGTGTCGAGGGCGTAGAAGGTGTTTCGGTGGTCTCGGTCGTCGATTCTGTTGTAGAAGTGGAGGTTGTTGGGTTGATTATTGGAGCAGTTTGTATGCAGGTGCAAGTGCATGCCTCACATTGGTGACAGTATAGGTAATGATGAGTTTGAATTTGAACAGTGTCTTGCTGGCAGTATTCGTGATTTTGATGAAATATATCTGCATTTTGGGGAATGGCGTGGGATCTGTCAAAATTTCATTATGATCCGTTGGAGTATTTTCCTGGTGTATTTGAAGTGAATCTTCATTTGGCGGCGGGGTTTCACGGTCGGCACGGGCGTGTTCATCTTGAGGCGGGGAGTGTTCTTGTTTGTTCCGATGACAGTCATCATTTGGCCGCAAGATTTCATCGTTGGTCCGAATGTTGTCATCGTATGGCCGAGCTTGTTCAGGATTTTGCAGTATTGCATCATCATTTGGTTGTAAGTTATCTTGCTGGTCCGAATGTGGTCATCATCAGACCGAGGGTGTCCATGATTTTGCTGAAATAGATCATCAGGTGGCCACAAGATTCCATGGTCGACCTGAGGGTGTTCAGCATCAGGCCGAGAGTGTTCGTGGTCGCTCCAAAGCAAGTCATCAAGTGGCCGCAAGATTTCATTGTTGGTCCGCATGTGATCATCATCAGGTCGAGATTTTTCGTGATTTTGCTGATGGGCGTCATCCGTTAGGCAAAATTGATCATGATTGGTCCCAGCTGAATTCTCTTCGAGCCGAGGTTGTTTGTGGTTGTATCGAAGGGGGTCATCTGTGCTTGCAAGTGATCTTGGTCGGCCCGAATGTGGTTGTAATCACCTCAAGGATTTCCATGATTTTGCCACGGGGATTCACCAGGTGGCCGAAGTTGATCATATTCGGGCCGACAATGTTCGTGGTCGTGCTGAAGCGAGTAATCAAGTGGCCGCAAGATTTCACGATCCTTCTGAAAATGCTCATCATCGGACCGAAAAGGGCCCTGATGGGACCAACATGGTTTATCCATCTGAGCTAATACACCGCAGACTGCTGCAAGCAGTGTGCTGAGAAATACTGCAGTCAGACTCATGTCATCCTTACTGATGCGATAACTATGTTCAACTGCATTTATATAGCGTTCATAGGAAAGTACGTTGGTAAACATGTGCGCACTAGAGGGGCCCATAAATCTACCTGCAAAACGATACAACAGACTAAAGCATGCTGGCACATGCGCTCTAATTCTTTTGACCGAAAGACTGTACTGTACGTTAAGTTAGATCAGAGTTACTCAACTGACTCACGTGAGCATGAAAACGGTGGGTACTGCCTGTAGTAACTTTTTAGGATTCCTCGATCATCCTTCTCAGAGCCTCTCCAAAGTCAAAGAAAGACCAACTTAATGTCAGCTGAAAAGTCAGTTTTGGCAAAACATGTTTTCTGCAAATATTCATCAGGCCAGTAAATTTTGCAAAACAATTAAAGTTTAAACGTGTAGAAAAATCAATAATTGTCTGACTTGTGCCCCGAGTGGCCACTGCGGACCATGCCAGTCTGCGCCAGTAGGCGAGATTGGCGTGTTTGGTTGGATTGTGGGCATTGGTCAGGGGTCAGGTGCATAGAGTGATCACTGTCACTTGTATGGAGCTAGTGACTGCCACTCTATGCACATGAACCCTGACCAATGCCCACAACGTAATACCTATGTCTCTCCAAAGTTACAGTCGCCAAGCCTGTATCGTGCATTCCAGATCAAGCCGCACAATTGCTCCGTATTCTTCACTAAAGAACACAGCATTCTCGTTTGCAAAAGCTCTGTGTGTCGAAATTGTAGTTGACATTTCTTGCGCTGCGTCTTTGAAACACTGCGTTGAGATGCTTAAACCATCTTTAACGGACACTCCAAGCTCTTTTTTGCCTAACTGATTCCATAAATAGCGGTAGGAGGAGGCGCTTTCTGGGTTCTTTTAACGTCGTCCACCTTTCAAACCCTGTATGTGGTGAAAGTTTTCGCAACTATCGGGTTGCTGTAATAATGAGAGTATTATACTTATTAATGCACTGACTTGACCTCTGCCGGATGTCCTGGGTTTTGTAAAGTTGGTACGGAATTATTGATCATAATGGTAGCACAAGTACTAGCTTAAAGACCAAACACGTGTTCCGCCGGTATTTTATCACTACGAAGGATCCGTTTCATTAGTGGGTCACCCAGTATTCCATACGCGCTTTCTGGTATTTACTTCAGTTTTGAATGTTCAGCCTTTGAATTGCCTCAGAAAGTAATTTCTAACTCCGAGTGGATCAGTGTGTTCAAGGGACTATAGGCGTAGACCCTTGAATACACTGTTCTACTCCGAATTATAAATTAATATCTTTATCCTTGACAATGAGCTCGCGTGAGAGTTCGAAACGTCGGGCAAATAAAATACTGGTCCCAGAGAGCGTTTTCCCGCCTTCAAATCAAAAATTGTTGAAAGCGCTTCATCTGATAACTTAACTGGCGTCCCTTTAGGACTCCAAAGCCACAAATTTAATAATCTACGCATAACACCAATGTAGACTAAGTGCGAGGGTTTAAAGGAAATGAACTTACCATTCCTACATTACATGCTAGGAGCAGTGGGATACCGATCCGATGGCAATCATCCTTTCTGCGATGAAAACCTCCATCCTGCCGCAAACGCCCATCTACATTAAGGTAATACGTCATATACACATCCTTATCATAATGCCCCTTAATGCAGCACCACTCACAGTCCTTCTTGGCATTCACATGCTTAATTTGCTTAATGAATGCTCTAGCTGGAGCATCACATATAATGGCTGCCAGACAAAAGTCTAACTGCCTGTCGATTGCATCGACACGCAGACCATGCCTACGCAAACTTTGGAGCTCATCAACTAAAGGCCTTCCAAAAAGAGTGCACAATGAACGGCTTAGCGCGACCACAATATACTCCTACAACAAAACTGTCGCTTATAAATGGCTGCATAGTGCGCCCTAGAATTGGCCAAAAATGACAATTTGTTTTCTTATGTACCGGTTAGCCACCGATAGTTAGATAAGTAACTACCTCTGTGTCCCTAACCAACATGGAACGGCAACTTACCTGCTCCGTTAACTGCGTCACGAGTCCTTA